CATGATGAGATGATACTTTACCTTCATAAATATATTGTAGAACATATTGGAATAATTGTATTACATAGTATGTCAGAATAATGATATAATATACCTGAATAAATCCATTATAGAATATACACTATACTGTGAAAGGTATGTGTCCTGGTGAATATATAATGCGTGTCCTGGTGAATATATAATGCGTGTCCTGGTGAATATATAATGCGTGTCCTGGTGAATATATAATGCGTGTCCTGGTGAATATATAATGCGTGTCCTGGTGATACAGTTAAGTGTCACAGACACACGAGAAGTACGGCACTTCCACAAATAAATGGAACATTGTTCCAGTAGAGAAGGCCATGTGCAATGTTACAGGTGAGCCGTGTTCCCACAGGAAAGGGCTACAATGTCACGAGGGAGGTAACACTGCCATAGAGAAGTGCCACACGCCATGATGACACAGAGAGGGGCCCTGCTGCCACAGGCTAGTAGTATGTACTGAACATGTATACACTACATATAATATTTGCAGTTGAGCCAACTATGAAAATCACTAGTTATAGTTATACGGCTACAATAAGGTTACCAGCTTTTCAAACTGAAATCCAGGGACACCCTACTGACCACGCCCACTTGTAACCACACCCATAAACCTGCACCCCCATTTGTAGCCACACCCACAAAATCACCCCCCATTTTTAGCATGCCCTGAAACAATTGGTCACAGGCTTCTGGAAGAGGAAGAAGACATAAAGACAAAGTGCCCCTGGGCACTATATATAGTTAAATAATGCGGTGCGTACAGCACACCGCAAGGAATTATGCGTGCGGTCAAACTGCGCTAACAGTGGGAGCAGCTGAAGATGCATGGTTAGGTAAACCCTTCAGACTTCAGGGGTCAAGAGTGTGTATAACAGAACACACATACAAAGTGCAGGGGTCATGAGTAGGTAACGCATGGAGTACAGGGGTCATGAGTAGGTAACGCATGGAGTACAGGGGTCATGAGTAGGTAACGCATGGAGTACAGGGGTCATGAGTAGGTAACGCATGGAGTACAGGGGACATGAGTAGGTATTGCATGGAGTACAGGGGACATGAGTAGGTAACGCATGGAGTACAGGGGACATGAGTAGGTATTGCATGGAGTACAGGGGACATTAATAGGTAATGCATGGAGTACAGGGGACATGAGTAGGTAACGCATGGAGTACAGGGGTCATGAGTAGGCAATGCATGGAGTACAGGGGTCATCATAGGTAACGCATGGAGTACAGGGGTCATGAGTAGGTAATGCATGGAGTACAGGGGTCATCAGTAGGTAATGCATGGAGTACAGGTGTCATGAGTAGGTAACGCTTGGAGTACAGGGGTCATCAGTAGGTAACGCATGGAGTACAGGGGTCATCAGTAGGTAACGCATGGAGTACAGGGGACATCAGTAGGTAACACATGGCGTACAGGGGTCATCAGTAGGTAACACATGGGAGTACAATGGTCACCAGTAGGTAACGCATGGGGTACAGGGTACAACACTAGGTAACACATGGAGAACATGGGTCATGAGTAAGGGACAGTAGGAAGTAACGCAGGGTTTAGGGATCGGTAGTACGGTAAGTGACGCAGACAAAGATAAAAACCGAAGACCGCGCCTTCTTATCATTTAATAACGTTTAATAAAATTCAAAACTTGAAAAGGTAATCAAACTACTTACATGTGCAATGTACATATACACACACCAAGCACAGAGCTGCAGAGCTGACACATTTCGGGGGAAGTACACCTTCATCAGAGGTAAGGTAGCAGGCAACCCAGGCACCAGTATATAATAATAAATAGCTATTTATAATGAATAGCCCATGTGACGAGTCCTCTGTACTCGTCACATGGGCTATTATATATACTGGTACCTTATCTCTGAGGAAGAGGGAAACTTCCCTAGAAATGCGTCAGTTCTGTCCTTGGTGCGTGTATGTATACACAATCGCTCATATCTACTGTGTACAGTTTGGTTACCTTTTAAGTTTTGAACATAAATAATCGTTATTACAGGAGGAGAAGGCGCTGTCTTGTTTTTATCTTTCCATGCTCTGTGTGGACATCTCCCAATAGCCTTGTGGATGGCAGCCGCTCTTGATGCGTCCTGCTTTGAAGATGGCCGATGCCCTGGTCTGCTGAGCGCGGAGAGTGTGGCTCTTTTTTCCGGATACTGGCAACCGTCACAACATGTACAAAACCGGCTGTATATGACTGCAGTGCCCGCCAGGGACGTTTGTTTCCTGGGGACAGACCTCTCAAAATGGGGACTGTCCCAGGGAAACAGGGACTGATGGTAACCTTAAAGGAGAACAATGCGGTCAGGGCTTTTCCCCATAGTTCTCCCCAGGGTCACGGGAGGACACAAACTAGCGTCCTCCCGTCACCCAAAGCTCAGTATATACTGAGACGCCGCACCCGGGACAGATCCCGGCATTACTGTCGAGATCCGCCCAGCTGCGTGATTGAAAGCTGGCTCTGCCTACCTAGAGGCAGAGCCAGCTGTACCCGCCCCCTCCCTGTCCGTTCCACCAGTCAGTGCTGGAGGATCGGACGGGGGGGAATCCCTGGAGGGAGTCGTGACTAACAGTCACTGCTCTCTGCAGGGACATGATCGAGAAGTGAGCGAGCGACGCTATGTGTTCCCTCACTTCCCGATCTATTGAGCCGACCTGTGACAATGAAACTAAGTGATTTTCACTCGCCTCATAGTTCTCCTTTAAGCTACAACAGCCTGTCCCATCTCCATTGCAAGGGCAATGTCCTTTAACACACACTGCTGCTGGGTGTGGGAGTTGTAAGGACGCAGATTCCTATAGAAATAAGTGCAGGCACAGAAAAAGTGGTCTCAGAGAACGTTCAGAGGACACAGAAGGACAGTTTCCATAGAGAAAAAACATTCTCCAAGTAGGTAGCAGCTACAAGAACCGATTGAACTGAGCTCTTTATACTTTGACAGGACTGTGTTTCGTCTTGCAGGCCTCCCTCACTCCGGCTTTCATTCCGCATCCAGGGTCACTGTGACCTGACGGAGGAGGTAGAAGCAGCACATTACCCAGAAGTACCCGGGCTGACACAGCAACACACAAACCTGCTAACCAGCCACAAATGAAAGAAAGGTTTTCTTAGCACACAAAACCTGTAATCTTATCCGATACACACAATGAAAGCACTTCCAGAGCAGGACACCTTAACCATTTGCTTTTTTCAACATTTTTGGTATTTTTACTTTATATACAAGAGAAAAAAACAAACACCAAAAGAAAGCTCTGTCCTAAAAATAATATAAAATTAATTTAGTGACATAGTATTTAAGGTTGAATAAAGACCATCAAGTTCAACCTTTGTGTGTCTGCGTGTACACGAGTCCCTGTGTGATCTAGTTTTTAAGAGTACCTGTACCCCTGTATGTTGCGGTCTCTGAGGAAGGTATATAAATGCTTTTTGAATGATTCAATACTCTCTGCCGATACCACTTCTTGTGGCAGAGAGTTCCAAAATGTAATCTCATCTCTATAGGTTGAACTCCATGGACTTTTTTTTCCAACCTGACTAACTCTGCAACTATGTAACCGCTCTGAAAAGAAGCTCCTACACCCTTTGTGATTAAATCTTTTCTTCACCAGTTTTAGGTGGTGGTCTCTAGTCTTTGTTTTGGAGTTTACAGTAAAAGGTTTACTCCTGATGTTGCCATTATCACAAAACATTTTGTACATCAGAATCACGTCCCCTCCTAATCTCCTCACTACCAGCGTGAACAAGTTTACATTTAGTAGCCTTGACTCATAGCTTTGGTCCTCCAGCCCCTTAGTTAGTTTAGTTGCCCATCTCTGCACTCTCTCCAGCTCAAGGACATCTTTTCTGTGGATTGGTGACCAAAACTGGGCCGCATACTCCAGAGGAGGCCGAACCAGCAATCTATAAAAGGGGCAAAATTATTGCTTTGTCTCTACAGAACATTCCCTTTGCAATACAAGACAGTACTCTGCTCGCTTTGTTTGCCGCAGCCTGGCATTGCGTGCGGTTATTCAGTCTGTGGTCTACTATGACCCCCAAATCTTTTTCCCATTTCTGACTTCCCTAGTGGAGCCTCCATTAATATGTATTCTGCTACCTATTTTTAACCTCAAAATACATTTAAAAATTTTCAACATTAACCCCTTGCTGACCGGGGTGTTACACCCCCTTCCTGGCCAGGCCATTTTTCAGTACAGCGCTGCGGTACTTTGGCTGACGTTTATTCCGTCATGCAGCGCTTGTGATGCATGGCGTTCCACCCAGCTCACTGGTGTCACTAGTGGCCAGGAGCTGGGTGGGACGCCGTTCAGGGCATCCCAGGTTGCTAGGAGGTCTTAGCAATCTGAGACACTCTGCGACACCTGCGGCCTCCTTTCCGGCCAGAGCGTCCCAGGTTGCTAGGCCTCCTCCCACATGACCTAATGAGATGCCACCTGAGGCAACCACCTCAGGCTGCTTCATTACAGGGATGGCCCTGACCATAAGGAAACCACCCCTGGGAAACGCCATGCAGCCATTGATGGGAGTGCATGTAGACAGGAATTAATTGCAAAGAGTTTGCAGGAGATCAGCAGCACTAAGTCATAATGAAGGATGATAAAAGGTGAAAACTGCATCAAAAAGGTTATCTGTTTAGAGCACACAGTGCTTTAGCAAACCATAGAACATTCGGTTAGGTTTTAGATGTATTTTAACGTTACAATAAAGTCAATCCTATTATCCCTGACAACACGCATAAAAGAAAAAGCAGTGTCAATAGAAACAATATATTTATCATCATCATTCTAAAAGTTACTCCAAAAACACAACTGCAGTCCTTTCCCATTGCCACACAACAGTTGCTTATGACAACCATCATGAGGAGACATGAACAGCCAAAGTGAAGCTGCCATTTGACATGAGTGCGGCCATTTTGTTTACAGAGCAGTCCCGTCACTCTAAGCAGCTGTCGTCCACCTACCTTCACAATGAGCTCATAGCGGGGGATTCGCTGGACAGGCTTGATCGTGAGGTCTGACAGGGCCTGTTTCTCCTTGTTTTCCCGTGTGCATTGCTGTAAAAGGAACGACACCATAAGTAAGGATTTGCCATAGAAGGCGGGGCTGCAGAGAAAAGCCACTCATGATAGAGACCATTATTATTATTATACAGGATTTATATAACGCCAACAGTTAGCGCAGCGCTTTACAATATAGGGAAGACATTGCAATTACAATTCAAGACAAGATGGTAAGGAGGGCCCTGCCCCTGAGGGCTTCCAATCTAAAAGGGAGGGGCCAGTGATACATGAGGAGGTGGCTGTGTGGGGATGAATTGTATGAGAACGTGATGGTTGAGTGGTTAGGTTGAGGTGGGATAGGCTTCCCTGAAGAGATGAGTCTTTAGGGATCGGCTAAAGGCAGTCAGAGTAGGAGATAGACGGACAGGATGGGGTAAAGAGTTCCACTATCATAAATAGCAGTACGTGTCCCTGATGGTCTAGTTTCCAGTGAGTTTTTAGGTTGAACATTCCTAAGTACGTTTTCTACAAACCTTCTATGAACACAATAAAATCGTGCTCATCTTACTCATCATACAATATTTAGATAAACATGTTACCCAATACTTATGTACATTTGCTTACAGAATCATTCATTATATGGCTCTCTATGTAAGGGTTAAAGGACTGGTCCTCCCCAAACTGATATTTCAGTAGTAGGAGTCTGTTCGGCTTGCTCAGCCACTGCTTTATTATATTCCTTGTGGCGAGATCCCCTGAATTCGTCCCCAGTTATTCCCCACTGCCCTCCTTGAAGTGTTGGGTGCTCCTATCCACATTTGGTGTTCCTCCTGATGCATCTCCAAAATATCAAATCAAAAGCCAGCAGGAAGATTGGGCAACACTTGTAACAGCCGAAGGATCGTGTACACACTCCAGAAACAAAAAACACAAAAATCAGCTTTGGGTGGACTGATTCTTCAATAAATGTCGGAAGTTTAAGCTGAGGCTGGTTCAATGCAAATAAAGATTAAATGGGGGCTTTAGATGGGAGGGCAGAGACCTCCGCCGGGAGGGCAAGGACCTCCGCCGGGAGGGCAAGGACCTCCGCCGGGAGGGCAAGGACCTCCGCCGGGAGGGCAAGGACCTCCGCCGGGAGGCCCACGACGT